CAATATGATTAAAAAAATAAGTTGTAGTTTCTCAAGTTAGTAAATCATAACTAGACTGATAAGGCGGCAATAAAAGATTTGGATTTCACAGATGATTTTCATTTTCCTATGTCATATACACTCCAAGGTGACAACCAATGAATTCGTAGAAGAGGCAAACAGGCAGCGAAAACAGGACTTCAAGTGTACATCTGGACGACAGGAGTAGACGATGAAAATACATAACCTACAACAAAAAAAACAATCTTCAGTCACCATAGACGGGCGAAATTTGAAGAAAGTCTCCACTTTCACTAACCTGGCTAGGCAGAAGCATCTATCCCACCACACAGAGACAGCACAGATGAGGATGTCAAAGTCACAAGTGAAAGAGCAAGACCCATCCCCATGTATCTGAAATCAGTTTGGAAATCTACTGGACTAAGCACGAAGATTAATATATTTTATGCGGTTTTGAGAATTGACACGTTACGACTAGCATTCTCATCAGCAGGCTAGCAGAGACTTACATCAGTACCTACACAATTTGCTGCATACAGGAGATCAGATGACCTGACAGAATGAGTAAGCGACAAGGAGATGTCACAGTAAATCAAAACCAACAACGTGTGACTCAACGAATATTTAGAAGGAGATGCATGAATTGGGCATACACTGAGAAGGCTGTTGAGTAATATCACACAACGAGTAGGCCTTTGATTTGAACCCGAATGGTTATAGTGACTCTGGGCATGTGTCCGAGAGTGGCGTGGAGGAGGTCCTGGAATCACAGAATGATGTACGGTCGATCGTCTCACTCCTTACTGACATGAAGTTTTAGGACTCCAGTCAATAAAATTTACGACATTTGACCACTTTAGTTGTTGACACTGAAAGATTCAAGAATTGTTCATTTTACAAATCAGGTGGGGAAAAACACTGGCGCAAAGCTTTCTTTTCTGATGCAGGAGCTAAATTGTGCTTGCTTCTTATTCGTTGGAAACATACATCTCAATCTCGATGCAACTCTCTAGTTTGCTGAACAAGACAGTGTTATTACCTACGGACAAAAGCTATGACTTCCGAATCTTGACCATCATGTTTACACTTCCTTCTTTAAAACAAGCAAATCTGTCGTTAAATGCCATTAAAATTGACATTTATGACATAATGGAAATATAACGGGTTAAAGAAATTCAAAAACTGAACGCCTTAATAGTGAAGCCAAAGACACCTGAGCTCACAGCAATGCGGAAATAAGGCCGAAAGATGCGTTGATAATGTAGAAGCCTGATAATAGGATTTTTATGTTTAGAGAACCAATTCTGTCCTGAAATCATGCACTTAATGTTGACAGAAAGCACTTTGTGCTAAAGTGATGCTTAAGATAAGGAAATAATCCGGGATAAAAGCCAGTTAGCGTGAAAAATAAGGCGAGTTATGCTGGAAAATAGTGCAGAGTTCGGAATGTTGTATAATTTCAACAGTTAGAATATATAAGATCATTATACCGCGCGAACTTTGAAAAGGGAGTTAATTTTCAAGCTCTTGTTTTATGATTGGCTTTTGTTGTGTTATACGCTCAAAAAGTCCACAGATTTAACTTTAAATCAGTTTATTCTGATCGAAGTTAGTTTACGTTTTAGATTTGAGTCTATTAATTATAGGAATTTGTGTTCTTATAACATAATAGCTACATATACCTATCTTTGTGCACTCATTAGCTTTTATCACTGATTTATAAAGGTTATATATATATTTGAAGTTGTATTTAATTTTTCCTGGTTTGTTTTAAATAAAATGCCTATCAAAAGAAACCGCTGCGGAAGGGCTATGTGCCAGCTTCCAGTGGATGAAGGAATGCAGTGTGATAACTGCAAGAGATGGTTTCACAGTATGTACACGAACCTTACTCCAGCAGCATACGAACGCTGCTGCAAACCTCTAGCAAACTGGTTGTGCAACGACTGCTGTGGTACAACTAGACTCCGTATTACTGAAGCCATTGCTACTCTTAGTGGGGCTTTAAAGCCCATGGACTGCAAGCGTCCTCCACCACAGAAGAATACCAACTATTGCTCAGATAACGATGACGTGACTAGCGTTATTGACAAAACAGCACATGTCCCCGATGCGACCTTGCCAATAAGTGAGTGCTCTACAGCACAGAAGAACACCCACCACATTCCAGACACCCAGGTCGCCCCCACGATACTGGATAAGCCCTCCAGTGACAGTAATGGAAAGACTGCCACGAAGAAGAGGCGATACCAGTGGTCGAAAACCTGCAGCTCCAGTCGCCCAGGGACTGGCGGAACAAGCCTCATCCACACCGGTGAGCAGCAGACAGACAAACCCCATTACGATTAGCGAGGAGGACGCCAATGAATGGCGCACTGTAGTCTCTCGCAAAAAGCGAGATAAGGATAACACTTCGGCTACACCGCCCAAGAAGGATAGAAACACACTTACGCCTCAGGGCAAGAAAGTCACGGAAAGCAAACTCGATCTCTCTGACAGGTCTCTCATTCTCCACAAAGTGGAGGAGTCACTGGCCCTCGATCCTAAGGCCAGATTCGAGCATGACCTTAACTTGGTCAAGCCCCTTTTAGACAAGCTACTGCCACAAACAGTATCAGGCATTACTATACACAGCGTATACAGAATAGGCCAAAAACCTGACCCTACAGTAAGTGAACCTGTACGTCTCCTCAAAGTCGTACTAAACTCTAAAGCAGAGAGGGATGCTATTCTAAGCAACTCTCATATTCTCAAAGGATCAGGGATATATGTCCGCGCTGACTTAAGCCTAGCAGACCGTGTCAAAAGACAGGCTGCGGCACTCGAATTAAGTGAGCGACGCCGGAACGGCGAGAAGAACCTTAAGATTAAGGGTTTTCGGGTTGTCCGAGTTCGCAGTTTAATGATCCCGAAACCTCTGTGGGTGGGCCGGGGAAGCACCAATCTGGATTAACAGTCTGCTACACAAACGCCCGCAGCCTGTTAAATAAAAGGACTGAGCTGGCTAACATGAGAGAAACCGGAAACCCGGATGTAATTATTATCACAGAGACATGGCTCACACCCGATGTCACTGACAACGACGTTAACCTGCCAAACTTCGAAGTGCACAGGGTAGACCGACTAAACCGCAAAGGAGGGGGCGTAGTCATCTACCTCAAGAAAGGCTTAACCGTGCGTAGTATCGAAGCACTCGCCCACGAAAGTGAGTCGTGCGAACTTCTACGCTGCAGACTTAAATGCATAGGCCAAGACATTGACCTCATTGCTGTGTACCGCAGTCCTGACTGCAGTGCGGACGACTTCCTAATACAGAAGCTAGGCTCCTGGACTTCAAAATGTCGAAGTCTCGTAGTCGGCGACTTTAACGCCCCAACAGTTGACTGGTCGAGCCTAACAACTCCATCTTCAGTCAACTCCTTTGATCATAAACTGCTAGAATCTAGTATATCGCTAGCCCTAGTCCAACATATCATTAAGCCCACGCGCTATGACTCACAGCACTCCTCGTCAACTCTGGACCTAGTGTTCTCCCACGGTGAGGATGTGGATCTCATACAACATCTTCCTCCGTTAGGAAGAAGTGATCATGCTGTGCTCACTTTCAAGTTCACATCAACGGCAGCAAGGGCCAAAACCCCAGCTTGACCAAACGTTTGGAAAGCTGACATAAATGCGATCGTCTCAGCAGCCAACTCAGTAAACTGGTACATCAATCCAGAGTCCCAAGTAGAAGCCGCATGGAACCAATTTAAGCAACTTTACGCCCAAGTAACTGTACCTTTCATCCCTTGGTCTGTTCCAAAGGGTCGGAAACATTCCCCCCCTTGGATAAACCGGGAGATTCGTAAGTTACTCAGACGTAAACGCAAATGTTGGAACCTGTTTGCAACACTTGAGACTTCTGAGACCAGGGAATTATATACTACTGCTAGAAATAAAGCTATCGCAGAAATCCGCCAATCAAGGATGAAGTTCGAGACACACCTGGCTCAAAATGCAAAGGCACAACCTAAGAAAATTTTCTCGTACTTAAATTTCAGGAATAAAACACCCAATGGTGTCCCAAACCTGATTATTGACAAAGATACAATCGAAGAAGATAAAGAAAAAGCAGCAGCAATGGCAAACTACTTCTCCCAAGTCTTCACTCAGAAGTCATCAGTGCCTATAGGATCAGCTCTGGCTGCATCAGAAGAACATGGGATAGATTCCGTTGACATCGACCAAGGCATCGTGCTCAACTGCTTAATGAAACTAGATGCAGGGAAATCAATGGGTCCTGACAATCTTAATCCAAGGCTTCTCAAGGAGCTATCAGCCCACATAGCCGGCCCCTTGACCACGATCTTCAAGCTATCTCTCCTAAATGGAGTGTTGCCACGTGATTGGAAAGACGCCATAGTAACCCCCATACACAAAGGAGGATCAAGACAAAGCCCTTCAAATTACAAGCCTATCAGTCTCACCAGCACTTTAATCAAGACACTGGAAAGAATTATTAAGAAAAGCATCATGGCTTATCTGGAAAATAGCAGCTTGTTATCTGGAGCACAGCATGGCTTCCGGAGGAACCTCTCATGCCTGTCAAATCTCCTGACTGCAAGAGAAAGCTGGGTCAAATCAAAGGACAACAGAAGACCCGTTGACGTTGTCTTCATAGACTTCAGCAAAGCCTTTGATAAAGTACCTCACAAAAGACTACTCATGAAATTGGAAAGTCTTGGTATCAAAGGCAGACTACTAGACTGGCTCAGGGAATTCCTCATAGATAGGAGGCAGAGGGTTAGGATCAACTCAAAACTCTCCTCCTGGACAGCAGTAAGTAGCGGAGTGCCACAAGGCACGGTTCTCAGTCCTCTCCTTTTTATTCTGTATATCAATGAGTTACCTCTGCTCACCGACTCCCCTATGGTCCTATACGCAGATGACTTAAAAATTTGGAGAGAGCTGAAGAACAACAGTGATACGTTCAAGTTGCAAGAGGATCTCAACAAATTGTCGGAGTGGTCTGTTAAATGGATGCTCCCGATCAATGTGGCAAAATGTGCAACCATGCGCATTGGACAATCAAGCACAAGCCCCTATGAATTAGAGGGAATAACACTTCCATCAGTTCAGACTCACTTGGACTTAGGTGTCATAGTTAGCCACGACTTAAAAACTACAGCACACTGTCGCGCGGTGGCTGCACGTAGTTTCAGGTCCTTATGGGTGATTCGCAGAGCCTTTACAAGAATTACCAGCGATATGTTCACCTCCTTATACACATCTCTGGTTAGGTCAAGACTGGAAAACTGCATCCAGGCCGCCAGTCCTTGTCTAAAAGGGAATTCACACATTCTAGAAAGTGTTCAAAGGAAGGCAACACGTATGGTTCACGGCATAGCTAACTTATCATACGAGGAAAGACTAGATAGTTTAAATCTCTTCTCACTGTCATACCGTAGGCAGAGAGGAGATTTAATCACAATGTTTAAAATTTTAAATAATGACTACGGACCTGACCTATTCTCTCTTTTCCTTCCCACCAGGTCGGAACACCTTAGAGGACATAGCAGGAAAGTTCAAAAGCCAAGGAGAAATCATATTGCTGTTGAGTACTGGTTCTCACATCGAGTCATAAACTCTTGGAACCGACTCCCAGAAGAAATGGTGTCTGCAACTTCAGCTGATTCGTTCAAGAAGGGTTTGGACAACCACAGAAATCTACTAGAAAAGGATTAACATAGGCTGCAAGCCTTCTATCCTCAACCAATAAATCTGAAATCTGAATTATTTCTATTTTCACCAACACTTTCTGCACTGGTGTACGCTTGACATAGTGCACTACGACACAATAACAGTGAAAACACTAAGTTTACAAGTCAACTAATCAAAAAACTAACCAAGACTAATTTTGTAAGGAAATAAGTAATCGATTTAAGTGTAGAATACTATGTTTGATATTTAAATGTCAACATAACAATTAGAACGGTGATAAAACATTAGTTTATAATAAAGTCCCAAACAAAAATAATATCTGATGTACCTGACTATACAAATAACACTAATTTTAACATGTCTGTAAAGCCTGTTTAAGTGGCTATCATGTAGACACAGTGGTCCTCCAGTAATGGAAATTCATCTAAGCACATTAAAACATGTAAAACATCAAAAAAATTACTATCTCTTTTAAACCGAGAACCAATGAACAAAGAAAGTATAACATATAGACACGATAATACGTTCACAACCTTGAAATTTACAATGCAGACCTTCCCAGTATAAACACCGAATTTAAATTGGATCTTAATACGACCTTGGCAGATTATCATATTTACGAGCTAGTATAAACCAATTTGACTTCTTTGTGCTCGCTTCTTGATTGTAAGGTATAAGTTCCTGATATTCGGTAAACTTCTGCGTAGCTTGTCCCGCCACTCGACTGTCGTAGCTTTGGTTGACTCCAAAGGGAGTAGTGCTGGGATTAATTATATGTGGTTTGTAGTATGAGGTATGTTAAGACTGTTACTACTGTGATTGGAGTTGATCCTTTCGCCAGTTAGTCCTTCGGTATTGTCGACAAGAGGAAAGAGATAGTAATAATAATAATAATAGTAATAATAATAATAGATATAATTAGTGAAGCTATTCAGACTAAGAGACAGAAACGAAAATAGGAAACGTAACAACAGTCAGCTCATTAAGTTTGAAGAATAATATATCTATCGGTAATAGTAATAATAATAATAATAGTAATTATAATATTAATAGGTTGTCAGGAGAGTAAGACGGGAGAGAATGTAAAGAAGTAAAACGACGAGTTTAATTGTCTACCCTGAATTGTGTATGCGATTTTAAGGGGATAGGCCATTTGGATGCAGTACTTGTATCGCTGCATGGTTGTCCAGCCTTCGCTTAAAGGCGTCCAAAGACGGTGCCATAGCTACATCTGCCGGCAAGGAATTCCAGGGACGACAAACCCGCAGTGAAAAGAAAGTGGGAGCGCACCCGGGTCCTTGCCCTCTGGTGAGCTATCCTTCTGGGATTTCCACGTGGGAGCCTATACCTACTCAATGGCAGAACACCTTTGTTTGGGTGATTCTGGTCATTTGTTATTTTGTAGGCAGTAATCAAATCCCCCCTAAGCCGACGGTAGCTAAGTGTGAACAGGCCTAATTTCTTCAGCCTTTCATCATATGGTTTGTTTCGGAGACCAACCACTCCTTTTGTTGCCCGTCGTTGGACTCTTTCCAAGAGGGTGGCATCTCTTCTCAGCATTGGGAGTGCAATAATATTATGCACCTCAAGGTGTGGCCTGACGTATGTTTTGTACAACATTAGAAAGAGCTCAGGAGTGAGTGCGCCTAACTGTCTATGCGTAAAGTGTATGACCGCATATGCCCTCGCTACATCCCCTGTGTAATTTGCGCTTGTGTCCATTTTTTCCGTTGGAACTAGACCTAAGTCGCGTTCCGACGTTGTGCAGGACAAGCTTTCATTGCACAGGGTGTAACTTGCATTCTGCAGTCTACAGGTGCGCAACTTCACTACTTTGCACTTTTTCAAGTTGAAAGTCATGCCACTGGCCACCGCCCAGTCTTCCAGAAGGTTTAGGTCTTCCTGCAGCCTGTCTGAGTCCCCCAGACATTTTATCGCCCTCCTTATTTTTACGTCGTCAGCGTATAGGAGAGTCGGGCAGCTTAGACGGCGTGGTAGATCATTGATGAAAATCAAAAACATCAGTGGTCCTAGGATAGAACCCTGCGACACTCCTGATGACGATCTGTGCCAAGATGATCGGACTCGGTTAACCTTAGTGCGAAATTGCCTGTCGGCTAGGTAGTCCTTCAACCATGACAGAAGTGGCCCACCTATGCCTGCCTGGCTTATTTTATGTAGGAGAAGGTCATGGTGAACAGTATCAAATGCCTTCTCAAAGTCTAGGAAGACCACATGGACTGGTACATTCATATCCCAGCATGATGTCCAGTCGTCCCAAGCTGACAGTAGGTTAGTGACGCAGGATCTGCCTTTTCTGAAACCATGTTGGGCTTCATGTAGTATATTAGTCCTATCGAAATATTCCCTGATGTGGTCGTCAATAATACTTTCCAGTACTTTTGATACCACTGGGAGTGGAGCTACTGGTCTATAGCTAGCAGCGTTTTGCCTGTCCCCACCCTTGAAGATTGGAGAAAGGATGGCTCTTTTCCACTCCCTTGGCAGTGTCCCCGAATCCATTGACTGTTGAAACAAGTCGCACAGGGGTCTACAGAGAGCCTCGGCGCACTGTTTCAGAACAGATGGCCTGATGTCGTCACAACCTGGGGACTTCCCAGGTATGAGTCGCTGTAGCTTCCTTAGTACTATTGCGGGGTTTATTTGGGGAGTAGTCGCTAGGTCTTCCTCCTGTGAAATAGTGGTGCCACCATTTTGGTCCGTAACTGTAATATCCACATTGCTGTTTAGCTGTTTAGCGAAGGCTGAACTGAATGCTTCAGCCATCTCCAGACTAGTGAGATATTGACCGTTTGGGCCTACTAAGGCGCATGCCCCTTGGTTTGTCGGTTTTCCTTCCGACATGAATCGGCACAAGTTTTTTGGGGTTTGCTAGGAGTTTTTTAGCAAGGTTAGCCTGGAATGACCTTCTGTCCCTCCTGACTCTTGCATTTGATCAGCTGATGGATACTGGCTTTATCTATTGAAAAAACCTCAAGTTTAGGTAATTTTTCGTTGTTTTGCACACTTTTTACTTATATTCCTGCTAAAATTCGATAATATACGGCGTATTTAGCAGAAACAGCAAATGATGGTGTCCTTAGCCGTCCGTATCCAATATCCAATGTCGTTTTGCGAGCTAGTATAAACCAATTTGACTTCTTTGTGCTCGCTTCTTGATTGTAAGGTATAAGTTCCTGATATTCGGTAAACTTCTGCGTAGCTTGTCCCGCCACTCGACTGTCGTAGCTTTGGTTGACTCCAAAGGGAGTAGTGCTGGGATTAATTATATGTGGTTTGTAGTATGAGGTATGTTAAGACTGTTACTACTGTGATTGGAGTTGATCCTTTCGCCAGTTAGTCCTTCGGTATTGTCGACAAGAGGAAAGAGATAGTAATAATAATAATAATAGTAATAATAATAATAGATATAATTAGTGAAGCTATTCAGACTAAGAGACAGAAACGAAAATAGGAAACGTAACAACAGTCAGCTCATTAAGTTTGAAGAATAATATATCTATCGGTAATAGTAATAATAATAATAATAGTAATTATAATATTAATAGGTTGTCAGGAGAGTAAGACGGGAGAGAATGTAAAGAAGTAAAACGACGAGTTTAATTGTCTACCCTGAATTGTGTATGCGATTTTAAGGGGATAGGCCATTTGGATGCAGTACTTGTATCGCTGCATGGTTGTCCAGCCTTCGCTTAAAGGCGTCCAAAGACGGTGCCATAGCTACATCTGCCGGCAAGGAATTCCAGGGACGACAAACCCGCAGTGAAAAGAAAGTGGGAGCGCACCCGGGTCCTTGCCCTCTGGTGAGCTATCCTTCTGGGATTTCCACGTGGGAGCCTATACCTACTCAATGGCAGAACACCTTTGTTTGGGTGATTCTGGTCATTTGTTATTTTGTAGGCAGTAATCAAATCCCCCTAAGCCGACGGTAGGTAAGTGTGAACAGGCCTAATTTCTTCAGCCTTTCATCATATGGTTTGTTTCGGAGACCAACCACTCCTTTTGTTGCCCGTCGTTGGACTCTTTCCAAGAGGGTGGCATCTCTTCTCAGCATTGGGAGTGCAATAATATTATGCACCTCAAGGTGTGGCCTGACGTATGTTTTGTACAACATTAGAAAGAGCTCAGGAGTGAGTGCGCCTAACTGTCTATGCGTAAAGTGTATGACCGCATATGCCCTCGCTACATCCCCTGTGTAATTTGCGCTTGTGCCCATTTTTTCCGTTGGAACTAGACCTAAGTCGCGTTCCGACGTTGTGCAGGACAAGCTTTCATTGCACAGGGTGTAACTTGCATTCTGCAGTCTACAGGTGCGCAACTTCACTACTTTGCACTTTTTCAAGTTGAAAGTCATGCCACTGGCCACCGCCCAGTCTTCCAGAAGGTTTAGGTCTTCCTGCAGCCTGTCTGAGTCCCCCAGACATTTTATCGCCCTCCTTATTTTTACGTCGTCAGCGTATAGGAGAGTCGGGCAGCTTAGACGGCGTGGTAGATCATTGATGAAAATCAAAAACATCAGTGGTCCTAGGATAGAACCCTGCGACACTCCTGATGACGATCTGTGCCAAGATGATCGGACTCGGTTAACCTTAGTGCGAAATTGCCTGTCGGCTAGGTAGTCCTTCAACCATGACAGAAGTGGCCCACCTATGCCTGCCTGGCTTATTTTATGTAGGAGAAGGTCATGGTGAACAGTATCAAATGCCTTCTCAAAGTCTAGGAAGACCACATGGACTGGTACATTCATATCCCAGCATGATGTCCAGTCGTCCCAAGCTGACAGTAGGTTAGTGACGCAGGATCTGCCTTTTCTGAAACCATGTTGGGCTTCATGTAGTATATTAGTCCTATCGAAATATTCCCTGATGTGGTCGTCAATAATACTTTCCAGTACTTTTGATACCACTGGGAGTGGAGCTACTGGTCTATAGCTAGCAGCGTTTTGCCTGTCCCCACCCTTGAAGATTGGAGAAAGGATGGCTCTTTTCCACTCCCTTGGCAGTGTCCCCGAATCCATTGACTGTTGAAACAAGTCGCACAGGGGTCTACAGAGAGCCTCGGCGCACTGTTTCAGAACAGATGGCCTGATGTCGTCACAACCTGGGGACTTCCCAGGTATGAGTCGCTGTAGCTTCCTTAGTACTATTGCGGGGTTTATTTGGGGAGTAGTCGCTAGGTCTTCCTCCTGTGAAATAGTGGTGCCACCATTTTGGTCCGTAACTGTAATATCCACATTGCTGTTTAGCTGTTTAGCGAAGGCTGAACTGAATGCTTCAGCCATCTCCAG